CCCTTACCATTTCGGCCTGAAATTGGTGTTTATTCAAATTATCACAATATTTGCCCCTACGCCCCTTTCAAAGGGATTGGGGGTCAGGATCCATCTAATGGCATGTATGGACATTCATTGTGGGAAAAACTAACCTATTCAAAAAAAAATAATATTTCCTCCAAAATGCTGAACCACCCCGGCCCTTACCATTTCGGCCTGAAATTGGTGTTTATTCAAATTATCACAATATTTGCCCCTACGCCCCTTTCAAAGGGATTAGGGGTTAGGATCCATCTAATGGCATGTAGGGACATTCATTGTGGGGAAACTAGCCTATTCAAAAAAAAAAATATTTTCCTCCAAAATGCTGAACCACCCCGGCCCTTCTAATTTCGGCACGAAAGTTGTGATAATTCAAATTTTTACAATATTTGCCCCTACGCCCCTTCCAAAAGGATATGGGGGTCAGGATCCATCTAATGGCATGTATGTACATTCATTGTGGGGAAACTAGCCTATTCAAAAAATATAATATTTCCTTGAAAATGCTGAACCACCCCGGCCCTTACCATTTCGGCCTAAAATTGGTGTTTATTCAAATTATCACAATATTTGCCCCTACGCCCCTTTCAAAGGGATATGGGGGTCAGGATCAATCTAATGGCATGTATGGACATTCATTGTGGGGAAACTAGCCTATTAAAAAAAACTAGATGGAATTTGACTGCGCGCAGTCGAAAATGATGCTCCGCCATAGAGCAATTTAAACAAGTTTGGAGTTTAAATCTCCAGTGGTTCTTGAGATATCATGATAACAATCTCTATAATGTATGGAATTTCATAAGTTGACCTCTGTGACCCTTGACCTTTGACCTATGTGCTCCAAAATCTAATCAGATTGTCTTCCTATGGTGATACACACTATCATTAAGTTTGAAGTTTAAATCTCCAGTGGTTCTTGAGATATTATGATATGGTGATACATACTATCATTAAGTTTGAAGTTTAAATCTCCAGTGGTTCTTGAGATATTATGATAACAATCTCAATGTATGGAATTTCATAAGTTGACCTCTGTGACCCTTGACCTTTGACCTACGTGCTCCAAAATCTAATCAGATCGTCTTCCTATGGTGATACATACTATCCTTAAGTTTGAAGTTTTTACATCTCCAGTGGTTCTTGAGATATCATGATAACAATCTCAATGTATGGAATTTCATAAGTTGACCTCTATGACCCTTGACCTTTGACCTACGTGCTCCAAAATCTAATCAGATCGTCTTCCTATGGTGATACATACTATCCTTAAGTTTGAAGTTTAAATCTCAAATGGTTCTTGAGATATCGCGCTAACAAACTCAATACAAGGAATTCATAAGTTGACCTCTGTGACCTGTGACCTTTGACCTACGTACTCCAAAATCTAATCAGATCGTCTTCCTATGGTGATAAATACTATTCCCGAGTCTTAAGTTTAAATCTTAAATGGTTCTTGAGATATTGTGATAACGGTCAAACGGGACGGACGTACGGACGGTACGGACGGACGTACGGACGTACGGACGGACAACCCGAAAACATGATGCCTCGGCACCACCTTCGGTGGCGGAGGCATAAAAATCAATTTACCTTCTCAGGTTGAAGGCCGAGGGTCATCATTGCATCTGATTGGCTAAGAGCAAATTTATCATAGCATTTTAGCATTTGTTATTGATAACAAGTTCTATGAAACAGGGCGCTCTATGATTGAATTAACAAAAGGAATCAATTTACCTTCTCAGGTTGAAGGCTGAGGGTCATCATTGCTTCCACAATGCCAAAGCTCACGCTGTAATCATCAAGAAGAATCCGTTGAATCTCAGAGGAGTTTACCAGCAGGTTACCAAGTTCAGGGAAAGTAATGGAGCGGCCTGAATAACCAAAGTGAAACAAATCAACTGTTTATATTGCACTGTCATGCTGCTTTTAAGATCTGACACTACACCTTTATGCTCAAGTATAAAAGATGACTACCAACATGAGTACAAGCAAGTTCAGAAGGATAGTGGTGTGTTGCAATTTACAGAAAACCTCAAGTGAAATATGTGTTTGATCTTTTTTTCATTCCATTTTGTAGCTTTAACATGCAATATACTACAATAATATATTCTTGGGTCCCATCTTATAAACAGTTCATATTAAGCGCAACTTATTAGCGACCAATATCAAAATAACTCATTACAATATTTCATATTGACATTCAAAATGAGAAATTAATGGATTACAAAAATATGAACAATTATTTCACTATATGTAGCTCATTTAAAGTGGTGCCAACATGGCATGAATAGGGGAAAAAAGTGGATGGGTTAAAAACAAATCTTTAGGTATTGGTCTCAGGAATAATGCAGAATTTGTTCTTGATTTAATCTACATAACAAAATTGAACAGGGCCTCCTCACTTCTGAGGGAAAAATAATAATCATGTCAAACTTCTCCAGCTTATGTTCCTATTCACACAGCTGTTCATATTCATCCTTTTCTAAAGTTACCCAAGTATGAAAAGTGCAGTAATCTTACCTTCCAGCATTATGATTTTATCTGTGAATGTCTTGTGATGAAATCCATAAACTGGAGCTGTCTGATGGTATCTTGGTACCATGTTTCATTGGAAAACATCGCTGTTAGGCTGTTCAAGCTATATGATAAAAATGAGAATTATAAATCACACAAAAATTTAAGCTTAATGCCAGCATCAATTACAATCAGATTCTACAGAAAATACAAATAAAGAAAATATTTGACAGCAATATTAGTATTATTGATAATTCTAAAGCTGAAATCTAATTTCTTTTTGCAGGGCATAAAATGAACCTTGATTCCAAGACTTAGAGGATTAACTTGAAAGTTCTATGTTTAAGTTGGTTAAAAAAAATCTCAGAGATTTGTATATCAGTAAAATGTAGCATCATGATTAGGAAGAGCAGTCATTGAAATGAATCATAAGATTTGGAACTATGACTGGCAAATCAGATTGAACCGGTACACAAACTTTCAAGAGTCAAATTGTGAATGATCATTCTATGTTTAATTCTTGAGTGTGGGCTAAAATCTCTTGCGTGGGAACAAATTGAAAGATACATTCACGTTTCCTTTTTCTTTCAAGGCAAACATAAGATGATCTTTTAAAGATCATCATTGTAATGTTTGGGCTGGATTTGCCGTCAATGGCACGGAAGGGAAAGGAGACCCACCTGCAACGCCAATGGCATACTTCTTGTCAGTGAATTATCTAAATAAGTGTGCATAAAAATTCACCAAGATAATCAACTTTGAAAAACATGAGAATATTCCTCGAACCTTTCAAAGTACTGGCCGATGTTCTGCATGTTTCCGGTTCGTACCCCAGAGATTATCCTGGGGATGAGGTCTGTCAGGGTTGTTAAATCAAAATCTGGCAGCGTGAGCTCAGGTATGATACTCAGGTACAACTGGTCAATAATCTAAAAGAGAATGTTAAGAATAAAGTAACACGGAATAGACATGTAAAAGATACATATACAATGAAACCTGTCTATAAAGACCACCCAAGGGAGACAAGTCAAGTGGTCGTTATAGGCAGGGGGTCTTTAAGTACAGGTGCCTATAGTACATTTTTCAAAGAGAAACCATTTCAAGGGAAACAAAAAATGTGGTCTTTGTAGACAGGTGGTCACTAAAGCAGGTTTGATTGTACGTGGAACTTCAGCTGACACTTTCCTCATCGTAAAATCCCACATGTGTTTGAGGCTCTGTAATTTGATACATATTCTCAGGTATAACATTTTGATTAAGTTCAAGATTTTAATCAACATTATAGAACGTGTTACAAAATTTTATATAAGCATTAGTGGCAATGCATAGCAATACTTGGAAATCACTAAATGCTTTCAAAATTGGCACAGTCAGAATTTACACTGGCACTAAAGGTTAATCTGTTGACTACTGGACTTTATCATTCTCATAGGCTTAACACATGAACCACCAGGATTCGATAGACAATGGGTTAATAGCATAAAGTTGGTTGATTGTTTACAATCAATCCCTTTTTTATTATTTTTTACTTTCAAGAAAAGAGAAAAATTATGTCTTGGGGATCTAATGCCAGATGCCAGAACATATTGTCATGTCTGTGTCACTTACCACAGAAATGATATTCTCAATTGCACCATTTTCCAGCAATTCCGTCAGGGTATTTTGAAAATCAACACTGCACAGCGCCCCCTGTAGTTCCGTCACATTTAGTCCCTCCGGCAAGACAAATAGCATCCTCAGACCCTCTTCGGTGCATAGGGTAGTGTTCCAGTTGCTTGATATAACCAGCTCAATCAGCTACAACATAAAAAGAATACATTTTTTATCTATAAACATATGTGTTTAATTTGGCATATACATGTAATAAATTGTTCATTCATTTTTGTATGTTCTATCTTACTTGTGTTCCTTTGTTTATAATGTAGATGCTTTTATGTGATCTCTTTTTCTTTTCAACAAGTGCGCCATGAGAATTTGCATTCTAGTGGATTTAGCACCTTGCAAATGTTATAGGAGTATAGATGAAAGCATTGATGATGTCAGGACTAAAGGGATTGTTCTTCATCATCCTCATCATCCTCATCATCGCCATCATCATCATCATCATCACCAGCACTATCATCATCACCGCCATCATCAAAATCACCATTATCATCATCATCATCATCATCATCATCATCATCATCATCATCCTCACCATCACCACCACCATCACCATCACCATCACCATCACCATCATCATCATCACCATCATTATCATCATCATCATCATCATCCTCACCATCATCACCATCACCATCCCATCATCACCATCATCATCATCATCATCACCATCACCCCAACCATCAGCATCATCGGTATCATCATCATTATTATCATTATTAATCATTGATATACTCACTTTTGTTGGGGTGATTGGAGTGTAGATGAAAGCATCGATGAGGTCACGACTGAAGGGCGTGTCTGAGCCAGGAGGAACTCTAGCGCTGTGGCGTTAGGGACCAGCATTGACAGAGAGATGGGCTCATCACCTGCTGAGAGAAAGGGAGAAATGTGCATACTCAAGACACCAATAACCTCCATTATCAGCAAATATCATACCTTGTTTCTAAGACAGATACTGCATCAAATATGTGAATACAATTACTTAGAGCCCCATTGCACTACTTATAGCTACTTGTGCCCTCTATGTAGCAAACAATGCCTAATCGGTCCTGTTCGTCACCATGATCCCTTTTTTCTTATGTTAATTGAGAGCTGATTTGATAAGATAAGATAACCTGTCAGTGACCTTGCATGGAGGTCTAATCCCCCAGGCCAAACTAGTGCAGACGGGCTTTAACATTTACCCCCTCACCGAGGTATAAAACTACCAATATGCTAGAGCGCTTTATATTTGGCCGCTCAGCTATGACCGGAATGATATATGTAATGTTTGGACAGCCATGTGGGTCACAGTGTAACAGACAAGAGAACTATATCACAATCTTCAGCTTACCACTGGTCCCATTGCCTAGGAATGGTGTTGTGTACTTGAGCACGGTCATGAGAATAGTAAGATCGGCTTTGAATTCCATCCAACCTGTCACATTCACCAGCTGGGCTTCAATGTCTTCATAGATCAGCATGAACTCACTAGCCAATGATTGGATGAACCTTTAGCACAAATCAAATCAAAGCAAATTAATCAACAAATCACACCAAATCATTAAAATAACATCTTCAAGCAGGCTGTCAGTGTCTTCATAAATCCTCAGGAACTCTCTGCCTGTGATCCGATGAACCTTGAAATTATCAACTCAAATCAAATCAAATCAAAGAATCAATTTCATGATTGTTTTCAAGATTACCGCTGACAAATAAATCTAAGTTTAATATGCTTACTTTTAGCGTGCACACAGAGATAAGAACACTTACCTCGATATGTGTTTATGTGCAGTGCTGCGCAAGCATAGGCCCACAAACAGTATAATAGCACCAACACAGCACTAAGGTAAGCGCAGTGCTGTAAAATACGTACATAAAAATTGTTGGATAGTACTGGAAACTATTGAACGCTTTTTCCTGAAAAAATAACATGGGAAAGTCTCAGCAATCACACGTTGCAATGTTTGACCAATCCTTTGATTAGGATCTACATGTAGAAGTGAGTTATATAAATTGTGAGTATAAAATGTGATATGCACCTACAAGAACAGAACACTAGAATAACTATTATTGAACTGAACTGAACTGAGCTTGAATTTTATTATGCAATAATAAACACCAGAAATGGCATGATTGCTAATCAAGCATGGTACTTTCGAATATGTGACCCAATTAGTGTCATTATTATCAAAAAAGACGATATTAAACAAAGTGAAAATGAACTTACCCCTGTACATTCTGTAGGTCATATGACTGGATAAGCTGCTCGAGTCTGAAGCCCACTGGCCGGATCATAATCACCAATGCCAAAATCATCGCCTCCATTGAAGCTAGTGATCTGATCAATTATCTGAAGGTGGAAAGAAGTGAGAAATGGCATTAATCTCATATCATTTGTCTAAGGAACAAGAGGGACCTTTCACACAAATCCTTTAACATAGATCTGCATGTACCTTATCAATTATATGTGAGCAAAAGAGGGAAAACTATGAACAGTTCATGAGGATAATATGTGTTTTACAGATCTTTTCAGTATCCTAAGCTTCATCCTTTCAATTGTCATATGTTCAGAGTCAGTAGGTGTTAATTCTGTTTTATAGGCATCGTTTAATAATGTTATATCTGAGATGCATGGCCCTACATGTTATCAGTGTCTGTGATATGGTGTAATATTGAAGCCCTTAACAAATTGCGCTTCAAAATGATCATGAAGTGCCTCAAAAAAATAAAATTCTTTGAGTGACGGTTTTACCATACTCATTTTTCCCAATAGACTGTATTGTTATACAAAACTGTGAGGAAAACGAAAAATGAAATTGCGATTTCCAATCATAAATTTCTTGATAATCCGACAGGTGATTGGCTTGTATAGATCATTGAATTCTTGACTGACTTAAAGGTTTATAATTATGATTGCAGCATGAGCTAAATCCAGGATTTTGTTTCAGAACCTGAGGCAATGTTACTGAGTCACTTTAATGCTCATGAGTTAATGCCTTTCTGGCGCGAAATGATTTTCCCAGCTTACCATGGAAATAAGATGTTCAATGCCTACTCCCTGTGACAGCTGACCAATCAGAGCTTCAAAGTCAATGTTGCATAGCGCCCCTGGAGCTGCGTCAAGTTCAGTCCCGCTGGTTCAATGAAGATGCCGCTCAAAAGATCTGCATTGCAAAGGGTCTCATTCCAACTGTTTGAAGATGCCAATTCAATCAGCTGTATTGAAAAAAATTATAAGAACTTTTATTTGCGACAACAAACATATCACTGGAAACTTTCTGGTAAGGAGCAACTACATCATCATCAAAACCTTACCACCACCATCAGCATCGCCAATAAAATGATCACAACCACCATCACCATCATCACCAACATCTCTTTTATCATAATCTCTTCAGCATTATAATCATCATAAAGATCGTCATCATCAACATTATCATCGTCATATTCGTTTTTGTCATAATCTTCATCATCATATCCATCATCATAGTCATCATCATCATCATCATCACCATCATCATCATCATCATCACCACCATCATCTTCATCATCATTTTCAATATCACCATCATCAAATTTGTATTTTCAATTACCTATCCGTTTCTGCTTAATAAAATGTGTTAATCTATTTCATGAGTTTTGTCTGGGGCCGTCGTATTATCAAGCAATTTCCTTACAAAGACAGTCCTTCTTCCGCAAATAATTTTATTATGTTTTATAATGTTTGAGGAAATTAGGTATTTATGACAGTTTATCATTTCATTTTTTGAAAATAACAATTTATATTTATATGTAATGATTTATTTATTTATTTATTTATTTATTTCCTCTCATAGGGTGGATGCCCTTTCAGCACAGCTGATTTTCAAAGGGTCCACAAACATAAAAATAACAATAAATATACAGTGAATTATACAATAATATGTAAAACGTTGCAAATGCAAGAAGTAAGGCAATGAATAAGTACATGTAGTTACAACAACTCAACTCTAACAAATTAATGTACAAAACAAACAAACAATAATACAGTTAATTGCAGATATTCAACTAAAACAACAACAAGCATACGGGTAAAACTGTAAACCGATAATATAACACACAAAAAACATCAAGGTAAACATTAGAGAAAAACAAAATACATACAAAAACAAAACAAAACAAGACAGGAATAAAAGTATGGGTATAATATTTATCACGTTTATAAGTATTTAAAAAAAAAAAAAAAAAAACATAATAGAATATCAAATTAAAGGTAAAAATTGTTAAAAAGGGCAAGACAATGTTCAGTCTATTTGAGTTCATTCAAATCAATGGTGCAAACAAAGGTAGCCAGTGTGGTTCGCGTTTCAAAAGAGAGATAATTGAATAATTTGGAGCTATGATAAAAGAAACTTCTTCTCAAAAACTCGGTCTTAGGCTTTGGAAGCCGAATTTATGATCGCTATTTCTTAAATTTGTGAAGATAAGTAAGTTGAAGTTAAGTCATGCATTATCTTGAATAACATGATTAAATTTCCTCTTGTCCATCTATCAACGATTGGGACTACCTTTGCTTGTTGGTAGATTTCTCGAGTTCATCTTCAGAAAAATACTTATTGTACTTGATATTATTATTGTTATCAAAAAACTGTGTACTTACATGAATGCAGAAGAACAATCAAATCAAATCAAATCAAATCAAATGTTATCATCATCTTCATCATCATCATCAACATTATCATCGTTGTCATCATCATCATCATCATCTTCATCCTCATCATCATCACCACCATCATCTATTCCTAATCCTCTTCTACTCCATTCTCCGGTGGAGACCGACAACCAAACTCACCATCACTGGATCAATGGGTGCATATAAGAGCTGGTATATGATATCATCACTAGAACATCATTATCATCATCATAAATTCATCATCATCATCACCATCACCAATCATCATCATCATCATAATCATCATATTCACCACCACCATCTTTTCTTAATCCTCATCAACTCTCTCCTCCGGTCAAGACTGACAACCAAACTCACCATCGCAGGGTCAATGGGTGCATAGAGGAGCTGGTATATGATATCATCACTAGAACATCATCATTATCATCATCATCATCACTATCATCATAATCTATTCCTAATCCTCATCTACTCCATTCTCGCTTTGAAACCGACAACCAAACTCACCATCACTGGATCAATGGGTGCATAGAGGAGCTGGTATATGATATCATCACCAAGGTTTGGTATCTCCCTCAAGATGATGAGCAACTCTGTTACATTGGGAACAATGCTGGCCAAAGTAAACGGTTCTACCCTGTAAATATAAATAAACAACATACCAAACAAGATAATTTAGTGAGCTTGAAGACATTCTATATGCAGATGAAAATAATATACCATTATCATCATTATCTATCACACATGAAATTGTCACTACTGTTCATATTCAGAGCTCTCAGTTGGTGTTTTTTCATAAACTGTCTAGGTAAGATTGAAAGATTGGTTACCTGCAGGTGCATTCACACTAGTTATCTGTTCAATGGCTGGTTGAATAATATAAATGTTATATGTGAACTCACCTTTGGTTGTGTTCATACTGACTTTATATTGAGTGGACTAGAATGGCTTGAACGTCCACTGATCATGCGTGTCTAGGCAAGCCATTTCAACATTTATTCCTATTTCTATATCAAGAATTCAATTCTTGATATCAAGAATGATTTTCTTTTATAAAACAATAGTAAATCTTGATATCAAGAAATGATTTTATGTCGTAAAGCAATGGTAATTCTTGAGATCAAGAAATAGGAATAAATGTTAAAACGGCTTGCCATAGACACGCATGATCAGTGGACTTAAAGTTTTACTGGCTGATAAAAGAATGTCAGTGTCAGATATGAAGTCACTCACTATTGCATTCATACTACTGTTGTGTTCGATGATTGATAGAATAATATAAATGTTGGATAAGAACTCACCTGTAGTCCCATTCACACTGGTAATCTCTTCAATGGCCGATAGAATGATATAAATGTTGGATATGAACTCACCTGTAGTTCCATTCCCACTGGCAATCTGTTAAACGGCTGATAGAATGATATAGACGTTTGTCCTATACTGATCCCATCCAGGAATATCACCAAGAGAATCATCCAGCTGCATCCAGACCATGCTAAGCTGTCGGGCCAGAACATCTAAAACGCTGAAAGATGAAGAAAAAAAATCAACCATCAAAATCAGTAAGAGCTGGAGGCCTGACGGATCAATGATAGAGCAGAGGGAGGGGCATGGTTTGAAACCAAGGAGTTGTGCTTGTGGCCTTTAGTAAGGGGTCAATCCACATTACCAAGTCCCTCTTAAAGGACTGAAAAGCCATCCATCAATCCTGTGATTACTTACTTACAAGCATACACGTGTTTTCTTAACGTTAAGATAAAAAACAAACCATCAAACCTAACGTTAAATTTTCTCCATTGTGTGGTGTGCGGTGTAATTGGTTTTTACAGACGTGTGTCAATCAGATATACTTTTTTACTTCTGGGGACGGACCTTAACGTCACCATCCGAAAGACGTGACTGTTTCGAACCTGCGTCCTTGGCTAAATCAATTTGTAACTTCCATTGTTAGCGGATTACAGGCGCACGTCGCAATGCCTCATTGCTCTTCTCTGTACTCCTTATATTCGCCTTATGTTTAAACTGATGATCCATTTCAGAATGGAATATCCTTCCCGAAATTAAGTATCCCTAAGAAGCCTGCATCATTGGTGCTCCTTCTGCTGGAGGGGGCAGATTCAACCCCTTTCCAATGGAAACTGTTTGGAAAAAAGGTCTTCCAACAGATATCATTGAAAGAGGATGACATTGGGGATGTGGGGTACAGATCGAGTGGGGAAGGGGAAAGAGAAGGGGAAGGGCAATAACAAAAATCACAAGACAATCAGTTTCTTGTGTTTTGCTCATGTCCAACACTTCTGCGCATATGTAAGAAAATAACAAAATTCTTACTCTGTTTCATTGGTTGGGTAGACACCAATCAAATTGGTAATCCACTGCTTCTCAAAGTATGCCAGCGTCTCCTGGATGTCCAACTGTTCTCCTAAACCTGCACGATCCCAGTGACGTTGGCCAAGTTCTTGATGAAGGTTTCCAAGATGGCTGCCCCTGTATTCCAGTCTATGTCTGAGGGCTTCAATGATCCGTTGGAAGCATTGGTAAACTCTCGTAGCTGTAAAAAGAAAAGGATTGTTTAATAACAATAAATAGTCTTGATTTATAAAGTGCTTAGTACAGAATACAGTCTCTAAGCACTTTACAGATAATTGTTATCCAAAGTGCTCTGGAAGTGCATAGAGATGTTATATCATGTTGTGATATGTGCTATACAAGAACAGCATATTATTATTATTGCCCTGGTCATCAGATTCATGCACACACAAAATGTGCACAACTTCCACTCCCTGATGAGTATACCTACCATATGGTCACAATGAGGGCATATGGCAATTTCTATCACACAAGGCTTTCGTCATCCTACCATGTCCCCATTTCTCTACTGGGTATGGAGTGGGAAATGTAGATTAATGTCTTACCAAGGACGGTAGTGCCGTGTCGGGGATCCCCACCAACCTTTGGCATTTCTAGTCAAATGATTAAACCACTCAACTTCGACACCTCTGTTAGTACCGTAATTCCAATCAATGTCCGAAGGCCGCATGTGTTATTATATCTTTCTTTTTTTTTCTTTTTTTTTCTGGGGCGCTAGTGTTTCTAAAGTCATTATAGCTGTTAAAAAAAAAGATATTGCTTAACAGCACGAGATAAGTACTGAATCATTGTCGATATGCATAAATTGCAGTGTGAAATAATAAAGCCACTGCTGTTTTCCACTGTGACCTATCCTGCTTCTATGAAACAGGATAGGGGAAATACACACACAACACAGGCTTTAGTCATCAACCTGGGTTGAATCGGACCCATGATCTTTGATTCGAAAGGAAATGTTTTAACTACTGAGCCAATTTGCCTGCTCACCAATTGCTCAACTTGAGGTCCATAGAGAAATGCATAAAGCTCCTCAGCGGCTATGTTCCACTCCACAGTACATATGGTTCTTCAAAAAGACTGGTGTCGATCCCTTTTCCAGGTAAGTCCAAAATGACATCACGTATTGTGGCATTGCAGAAGAATGGTAGAACACCAACTCGTGACACCACAGTAATCTGTTGTAAAAAGAAAGAACGAGAGAGAGATAGAAAGATAAGAGAAGGAAGAGGAAGAAGGAATATACATGTAAAGATAAAAGAGCAGTCAAAGCATACAGAGAAATGTCCTATAAATTCACTAGATTCATATTTAAGTTTCACTCACTTCATGAGCAATCTTCAGCAAATACGGTTTTGGTTGAACTTCTATTTTATTTTTAATCATTTATGCAACTTTTTCACATAAATCTATAAAAAAAAAAAAAAAAAAACTTATGGTTGATTTACCACTGTAGACACAGATAAACTTTTTTGAAAACACTTATCTAATAGCAGTTAAAAGTTACCTCAAGTGATATTCTAATGCTGCCCAAAATGAGCCAATTCACCATTAAAACTATTCAGACAAATTTGGTGTGCCACTGGTAAAAGTATGTTAGCATATATGCACATGCCACACAGCACATTAACGATAATTGTTTTAAAGTTTTAAGTGCTCTATACATGTTTATAATACCATTATGTAAAACATGACAGGGATTTCTCTCTTAATCAAGTGATAAAAAAAAGGAATAATGGATGGTAACTATGCTGTTTAAATAGTGGTGTATCAAATAAGCTCATATTTTTGAAGTTATGGGCATTAAATGCAATGGCCTCCTGCTTAACACAAGAGTTGAACAGAGCGCTTATGACCTCTGCCAGTGGAATGACAACATACCACTTGGTATTTTCCTTCAAAAAAACTCATTAAAATTGTTACATCAGCAATTGCTGGAAGACTCACTACTTCTGGGTCAGAGAGAGCGTTGCTCAGTTGGATAAGATCCACCTCTAAGAGAGCTTCAATGAACTTAGCCACTGCTGTTCCCTGGAAGTCTGGGATGATCATTCCTTCACTCACTCCTAGAAAAAACAGAACCATTCAACATTTAAAGGGGGTCGGCCGTGATCTGGCAAAACAACGTATGTCTGTTTCGGTACTTCCGAGATATCGAAGATTTTGAATTTTACAGTAAAAAGTGTTTTCATTTCTCTCAAGTTGAATAATTTTGTTAATATATTGTCTACATGTACCGGATAATATTCTTTTACTATGTAGGGTAAAATTGTTCAATAAAACACTTTCTTTTCAATCTATCAATGATTTTGTAGAGATACGTTGTTTTGCCAGAACACGACTTACCCTGCATCTCGTGCGTAATTTGGCAAAACAACGTATGTCGATATGGACGCTCCGCGCCGCTGCGCTGTGATCTGGCAAAACAGCGTATGTCGATATACGTTGTTTTGCCAGATCATGATCGTTATGCGCGCTCCGCGCAGCTGTGCTGTGATCTGGCAAAACAACGTAATCACTCTGCTGACTGTGTAGGCCTTGATTTGGCAAAACAAACCTTTGTTGTAAGTGCAGTAAGCTCGTCATATTTGCTTTAATTTGGAAAAAAATTAACGTAACAAATGCCATTAATGAAAAATTTATGTCGGCAATTGTTTTTATTTTCCGGTTATCTGGGGGGGGGGAGGGGGGGGGAGCTAATGAAAAAAAGCTTAGGACTAGTGCGTATAGGTTCTAATCTAACCCCTATAATGACCCCTTCCCGACTGTAAATGGATCAATTAACCGTACGCTACTCGTCTCAATCATTCATTTTCAATATCCGACTTAGATATTTTTGTTTCATTATTTATTATGTTGTTTTAATACGTATCAATATAATGATCATACTTATTAGTTTAATATATTTGCTCATCACCTACAGTTTGGCATTATGGAAGTTTACAGCAGCTGGAAGAAAAGCAACGTGTACACATGCAATCACAATCATAATTAGGGAGGCCCATGGTGAAAATTGCATTTTGAAATTTAGGGGTCACCTTGAAGTGGCTTAACTTTAAACTCATAACAAAAGACCAACTGAATTATTTTTCTTCATAGTAGATATTAAGTTTTATCAACTGAAAAAAAATTGTCTCCCCCAGATCAATAGTTCTCATGTGATGATTTTTTTGAAAAATCATAAACTTTGTGTTTTTTCGTATTATTAGCAATTCCCAAATAATATGTGTTAAGCATGATTTTGAAATAAGAAGTGTTGATCTCTGTTTCCCATGTATAAATGATTGTAATGCATCAAAAACAGGATATCAATAGTCTTTCCCCCCAAAAAAATTGTATTTATGAGAATTATGATATCAAATATGACCACGCCCATTTTTCATCAACAATAATGTAGTATATTTGAACATTTTATTCTGGGAATCTAAATTCCTAAAGGGTACAAATTTTATTTAACTTAGACTATTTAACATATTGATGATTATAAGAAAATAAATCAGCTTCACTGGATATGTAGTTTTAAATATCCAAAGCATAGAAAATGAAAGAAAACAGGACTTTTCGCAATAACAATATTATGACATGCTGTCGAAAATTGAGATGGTGTTTTAAAAAATCATAGCGTTTAGACATTAGGTTGAAAACATTTACTTTTATTTTTCTGCTAGAAACTTTTGGTATCATCAAGGAAAAAATAATTCACGTTCCAAAACGCTCGTTTTTTTCTTGATAAGATATGAATATGCATTATTATTCATTTGACAATTTTTGATAAATTTGCAGAAATACTGTTTAAATGATATAATACACATCACTAAAAAAAATGATTTTGTTTAAACACTGTCACCAATATGCATCATTACATTTAAAGTATTGGCACTCGTGGTACTTTAGGTGTATATATAGACAGTAATTTCAATATCAATGATTAAATATGAATATAGTACTAGTACAAACAAAAATGAAGGAAAATCAATAAATGTTACTTTCAAGGGCATCTTTGGACTCACTTTATTCAAACAGCAGAACAAATTCCATTTTGAGAACAAAAGTACAAGTTAAGCAGAGAGATATGTACCTAGGTATTGTAATTGCAAACATTTTAGACAGTTCCATTAGTGCTGATGATCAAATTTTTAAGTCATATTTTATGTAATTTTTAATTTGATGACACTTTCAAATAAGACATTAAAATACTATGGTGTCAAAGCTGTAGAAAAAAATACATTTCCCCACAATTAAACACTGATGACTTGCTGTCGCAAATTTCGAAGGACCTTCAAACAAATGTTCACCTTTTTTTCTTAGCACTGAGAGATTTCATTTTCAAATTTTTAAATTGACACAAATGTCTTTTATCAAGAAAAAAAAAAAATTCTCAATCAGTTTATTTTACAACTGCTGTGCTATGAAATATGCATTATTAACTTATAATGTTAACTATGAACCAAAAAAATAGCTCAAACTCCTTAATACTCTGTTTCAAAACATTCATATTATGAAATATGCATTATTATTTCATATGATAAATTTGCCCAAAATAACAACTTTAAAAAACAATTATGACATTTGATAATACAAGTGTATCGAAATAAGGATTTTTTCCCAACTGGCAACTGAAATATGCTATCTGTGGAAAACAAATTATTTCAAATGTGATCGTTGTATAATATATCATAATCATGCAGAAATATGAAATATTATAATGTACATTAATACCTCGCTAATGGTTGTAAGCGTCCGTAATGTATAAGGAAAGAACAATGCATCTATCACAGTAATAGAAATCAACATTTCAAAAATACAAGTATGGGTAGCACTGTTTATATAGCGAAAGGCTGCCGCTCATTACATTAATAACTCGCTAATTATTGTAAGCGTCCGTAATGTATAAGGAAAAAACAATGCATCTATCACAGTAATAGAAATCGACATTTCAAAAATAAAAGTATGGGTAGCACTGTTTATATAGCGAAAGGCTGCCGCTTATTACATTAATAACTCGCTAATGGTTGTAAGCGTCCGTAATGTATAAGGAAAAAACATCTATCACAGTAATAGAAATCGACATTTCAAAAATAAAAGTATGGGTAGCACTGTTTATATAGCGAAAGGCTGCCGCTCATTACATTAATAACTCGCTAATGGTGTGTAAACGTCCGTAATGTATAGGAAAACACATCTATAACAGTAATAGAAATCAACATTTCAAAAATACAAGTATGGGTAGCACTGTTTATAGCGAAAGGCTGCCGCTCATTACATTAATAACTCGCTAATTATTGTAAGCGTCCGTAATGTATAAGGAAAAAACAATGCATCTTTCACAGTAATAGAAATCGACATTTCAAAAATAAAAGTATGGGTAGCACTGTTTATATAGCGAAAGGCTGCCGCTCATTACATTAATAACTCGCTAATGGTTGTAAGCGACCGTAATGTATAAGGAAAAAAAAACATGCATCTATCACAGTAATAGAAATCAACATTTCAAAAATACTAGTATGAAAATTTAATTGGAAGGTAGTCCAACTGTAAACTTTTGAGCTATGTGTACTTGGTAATTAGAACATCATCTCCAACTGGAATCATCAACTTAGTGAAGGTCAAAGTTGATTTGATTTTGATGTATTTTGATATAATACACCATGGGCTTCCTATTGGTATAAAACATGTTTTCAAATATTTTGAAATATTTAATTGGAAGGAGTTAGTCCAACTGTAAACTTTGGGGGGACACTCTGTAGAGAAGCATACTGAAGTTCTTCCAAGTTAAGATTTCTAACTTTTGTTCGTTTCCAAATCAACAACCTCACAAAGTATGTGCCCCTCTCTTGTCCTTGTTGCCTTTGAGTAGGGCAGTTCTATGCATCATCTTTATATCCTATGGTGTGTAAAAAGTATGTTTTGCAAACTTCCTTGCCATCGATTCTGTACTTTAAGGTATACTTTCGTCTCGATAGCCGCCCACGTCGTGTTGTTGAATTCCTGTAACCTTTTTCAATGTTTTTGACTACCCAGTATCGCCAATCACTAATCTACTAACCTCCAACATTCTTGCCAATTGGCCTCTCTTTCTTTGGATCATGGAGGGAATTACAATGACGACGACAGTGGCATGGAGCCAATTGTGGGTGTTTGGCCTTGTCTCTGCTCAGTCTATCTGCAGCATGTCGGTATCTCCTCTTACCTGATTGCAAGTATAGAAGAAAAAAAGGAGAAAATCAATCAAATGCAAATAGATAAAAGAAAAAAAAACAGAAATTATGATTTTGTTTGAAGCTCTTTCAACACTATCCAAATGATACTTATCTAAGGATTTAGATGATGCATGTATTTTCTAAAATATATATTTTAAACACTATAAAAACTGAAAACTATAACCATCTTCAAAAAATATAATCAGTTGAGGAACTGAAACACAATTTATTTTGTCTTTAAAGACAAAAATAATTTGTTGTTATTGTTGTTGTACCCCAACTTTACAAAACATAATATTCCAAAATGAAAGTCATAATGAATTTCAAACTATATCTCTTTCTATACAAGTCAGTGAAGGCAATAAGACACAAAATGGGAAGAAACTTCAGAATATTTGCTTATCAATCTGAGGTTATAGAGCTTTGGATTTGATAATCTTATTACTTCCTGCCAACCATCTCCAGTTATTTCATATAGAGTGCTCAAATTCTAGTCTATATATGGTATTATAAGACGATGATGTGGATCCTAATCAAATTATTGGTTAAAAGCATACACGTACGTGACCAGGCATTTATTTGCCAACGCATAATTTGGATAACTAGTTATAAAACAAAAAAACAAAAAATTAATACACATTGTAATTCTTACTAATGCCCTCAGTGATGTGTAGTGATTGTATACAAATAGACTTACCACCAAATTCATTTCTTCTTTGAACATCATCTGTTGGCTGTCTATCACATGGTGGTGGTGTAGCTCAATGTATGGTGAATGTGTTTAAATGGTGGAATTGTATGGTGAATGGTGTTTCAATGGTGGATTCTGTATGGTGAATGGTGTTTCAATGGTGGTGTATGATGGTGAA